TTAGATTTAAGCAAAAGCATGGACCTCTTTTGATACTTTGAAAATCTTCTTGTACTGAGCAAAATCCATTACTGACAATTTTGATTCTCTTTAAAAAAGTAAAATTCAGGAAAAGGAACAGATGCTTAAGTGTAATCCAGTATAATCCTTTTTTTTTTTTTTTCTTTCCAAATCACAACTAGCTAATAGCTAACAGACCCTTTTCAGTGTGTTGCTGCTGGTTATCCACAGAACCAAGATGTGGTAGCCATCATGTTGCTGTCTGGAATCTTGCATCCAGATGCTCTTGTCCTTCCGTATGTGATCAGTGCACAGGGACCAGGAACAAATCGCCGTTTCAAGGCTCCAAAATAAAAGCAGCAGGCTGACTTGAATTACTCTGTGGTACAGTCCATTTGCATTTCTTGAAAAATATGCTTCTACTTACAGTAAATTGATTGCATTTTTCATTTGTCTGAGCTCTCTCTTGTACTCTGCTGTAAACTGGCACTTCTCCGCTACGTATATAGGATTTTTCAGACTAGTGGACTGTTGGAACAATTTGCTGCTGTAAGCAGATTGATTTGATCTAGAACATCCAAGCAGTGCTGTATTCCCAGACTACTTGTTAGTTACAATGACACACAAGTGATTTAGAAATTAAAAGGCAATGTTCTGGAAAGAAAATGAGGATCTGTCAGTGGGAAATAGCCCTGCATCTTGTAATTAAAATGAGTGGCCAATTTTATGGATTGCATAAAGTGTATTATAGGAAGAGACAAGACATGGAGTCAGTGAATGGCTGCCCTGTTGCAGAAACATTGCCAACTGTGGAATATTAAAGATTGTAAGTACCAGAAAGTAAAAAGGTAAAATTAATGCAAACTTAATTCTATTCTGTCCTTTAATATTGTTATGCCAGTAATGCCAACTTAGACTCTGGGAGGCATTAACAGTTCAGGCTTTTTAGAAAAAGTTAAAAACTGTATTGAAGGTTTGAACACAGCCAAACCAAATAACAGTTTATTACCAATCTTGGTTTGGATGGTTCCTAATATATGCCATCCTGGGAAACTGATTGAAAAGGAATCCTATCAGTTTTCAGGATTTTTGTCACTGATTTCAAGGACATTGTGCTGGGATTAATACAACCAGCTATGAGTAGGAACAAAGCATTCTACAAGGCCTATCCAGAAGTAATGCCTCCTATTTTATATGTTGGCCCACAGTGTCTGTAGAGGACAGTGTTGCTATGGCAGTAGAGGCAGATATTCCCACCAAATATCCTGTTATATTTTTCTGCTGTGCGACAGATGGCAGCAGAGGGGCAATCTGACAAAATGGTGTCTGACATGTGTCATGGTTTTATGATTTTTTTGGTCATCAGTATTCCACACCATAACATCATGTAATGCATTGGGGGTGGGGTTTGATATCTGCCGAATGTTCGTCCGTCGGAGAAGAACTACATTTCCCCAGGAGACTTTGCGGTCAGCAAGGGGATATAACTCCAAGCAAGGTCACCTGATCCTTCTTCTTCGCCTGCGCTTCGCCATCTGCACTTCGCCGTCTGTACTTCAGTCGCTCAACTGGACTGCACTTCTCACCCCAGCATTGTGGTGAGGTCTATACAATTCAAACAGACTCTCTCTCTCTCTCTCATTGTATTTTACTAATACTATATTTAGTAAAATCATTTGTTCCACCTCAGATCAGTGCTGTTGTTTTCAAGTATTTTGGGGTCCCCTGCTTCCCCTTTCCCAGAGGCGCGGATCCGCAGATCCCTCCGCCCTGCTGGTCACGGAACTGGGCCGGACCAGCCCATAAACCGTTGACAACATGGAAGTGCATGTAGAGCAAAGGTGAGGAGCAATGTGAGACAATGGGTTGTCTCTGCTGGTGCAGATTTTATGAGTGCAGCATGCAGGCTCCTCTTCCTCATTGGAAAAAATGCGTAGCAGATGGTGGCTATGCTGAAAAATAATGCTTTATAGCTGAGGATTTGCTCTTCCAAATAGTGTTGTGCTGTTTGTATCTCTTGTTGTTTCCATGGAAATAAACAAAAGGCATTATTTTCTGAATCTACATACCTTTACCATAGCTGTGTCTTCTGTGTACTGCTGTACTTAGTGCAACATTTTTGCACTAAGTACATCTAAGATGTTTTCTTTAAGGAGAAAAAAAAGTGTTATTTGTTGATGGTGTACTCTATTTCCTTTCCTGTTTTAAGTATTTTTTAATTAATTCTCTACATAAACTTTAAGTAAGCTAATGCAAACTTTTATTTATTGTAGAAGTGAGAATGCTGTTATTGAGATTGTATTATTAGGCTATCACTCTACATAGGTTATCATTTCTAAACAAAGATAGGCATAGACAATTTAAAAGGGTTTGTGGCTTGGTGGCTGCATTGAGCATTATATTTGGAACTGAGATTATATAGAAAAGTACTTGTTTCTCCTGTGATCAGGAAATAGGAAGAACCCTTGTTTCTCCTGTGATCAGGAAATAGGAAGAACCCTTGTTT